CTGGTTTCACTTTCTCAATGATGTCCACCAGCTGCTGGTTGCTCTTCAGCATCCCGTTGGGCATGACGAACACTTTGGTACCTAGCACAGAGGAGAGGAACACCCCGCGTCAGCAGCGCGGAGCAACGGCTGCGCTGGGGGTCAGACCAAAGGTCCACCTGCGCCTCTCATCTCCCAGAGAGGCACGAGTGGACACTGAGCCAGCTACAGTTAACCTGCGGGGAAGGGGAAATGTGACCTGGAATAACAGCGGTTACCACAAAGGAAGGAAAAGAGAAAACACAGAGCAGAGGCAAGAGCTGAGGAGCAATGGGCTGCTGAAGCTGGGCGCAAAGGATTTTCCTGATGCACGTGTATGAGACGTTTCTGCCTCAGCTTAATCCAAAGCCTGGTATCTTCCTCCAAACAAGGAGAGCTTTCAGCACAAAGCCAGAGAGAGATCAGCTGCCTCTGTCAGCAGCCCAAGCTCCAGCAAGTATTACTGATGTCTATCAGAGAAGTCCTGGAACCTGACTCCCTCCACAACAGAACGTCCGTAGGTCAGGCTCCGCGGGGGACAGGCCCGCATGAGCAGGAGCTGCTGTCAGGACAGGGCAGGTGGGGTTCAGGCGGTTTCACATCCCTACGGCACAGTGCACTGGTTCAGGGGGCAGGCAGCAACACAAGAGACTTGGGGACTCTTACCCTGAAAGGTCTCTTCGCGGTCTTCCAGCTTCCTCTTTTTCATATTTGGCTAAAATATATAAAATGTTTTACTCACAAACTAGTCGTAAGCCGTAACAGTGTTGCAAAGGAAACAAGGAAAACTTTAGAGCCTCTGCTACGCTCCTGGTTTCTAAGCACCCTTCTTTAAAAACAAAGGAGGACTGCGGAGCACAGCATTACCTCCAGCAACCTCCCAGGCTCGAGAGACCAATTCGTAAAAGCCTTTGGGAGAGCCACAGCTGGTTATTAAATAAGAACGCCCTACTCCAGCAAAGAGCAAGCCATGCAGTTTTAATTAACAGAAATAGGGATCACAGCCAAGAGAGTAACCTTACCCCGTCCAGTCCATCATGGCTGTTCGTGAGGAGAATTGGGTCAGGCACTGGGAGGTTCATGTCCGAATGGATCTGAGTGAGATCGTGAATATTGAGGATAGGCTCCTGGAAAATTAAGCAGATTTGTTACTTAATTATGAACTAACAAGTTCTGTCACACCAAACACAATGAGAAGACAAAAGATTCAGGCCTCCCTCTTACCCAACTAAAATAAGGATGTATGAGAAAAAAAGTCTAACAATAGGCCTGTGAGGAGGCCTCCCTCCACCCGAGAACAGCGTGCCAGCTCCAGGCCGTGATCAAAGCTATCAACTGTCTGCAAGGCCGGAGTCCCGGGGAGCCCACGGCATCGCGAAGTACAGCCCAGAGTTGAGGAATGCGTAAGAAAGATAAATGTGGTGATCACACAAAGAAAACTGGAAAAGGAAGCACCCCCTCTAGAGCTAACAGCACTCCAGTGCAAGTGACCCAGCCGCTGCCTCATGTCTTTGTAACAAGGCGAAACACCGGGGCGGGAGCTGCCACGGGGCTTTCAGCGGGTGGCTTGAAAATGAAAAGGGATACAGAGGACGACGCAGGCCTTACCTTAAGGAACCCATCAAGTTCTAACAGCTTCTTTGGGAAAAAGTTTGCCACCAGGTCTTCAGCCTAAGAGAGAAAGAACAAACAACGTGAAACGGCACCGCGAGGTTCCCGCTTGCAGTTGAGGACCCCGGGGGAGTCGCTGTCTGGAGGCAGGAACCGGGAGAGGACACAAGTCCTGCACGGGGGCAGGTGTCCCGCCAGCCCAAGGCGAAGATGCCAGGAGGGCCACGAGGACGCGCAACCTCGCTCCGGCCAGCGAGCGACTCCCCAAGCTCCGCTGAGGTCCAGGGAGAGGCTCAAACGGCAACGGAGCCTGTCAGGTACGGCCACACGGCCCCTGGCCC